CTTAAGGTCCTTAGACATTAAATAAGTGTGTCCACACTGGAATTTGCACCTACTTAACTGAGGGTGTGATTTCATGATCAGTTTTCATCAGGCCAAACTCTTCACTGCTGCTGACAAAGTACCTCTGATTGTCCTCCAGTATAGCAGTTCTAGCCCTTAAATGTTTGGGGGGCAAATCAAATTAATGAGTTGATCCTGCAAAAACTCCACAAAAAAAAGATTACATTTCAGCCAGATCAGCGACTGACCCAATTCACTCCACAGTCACATGAGTGCCAGCACCAGCACCCAAGAGCTGTGACAGTAGGCAAGCTGGGCACCACAGCTTTGCAAAGCATGAATAAGAGCTCTGTTTTCCTTCCAGTCAGACTTAATCCAAAACTTTCCTCCTTTATGGTTTAAGCTTCCCCAGTTTCACTATAAAGTTCAGAAGACATGATCTCCACAGCTGCTCTTCATAACCAAGTACCCAACGTTACCTGTTTCAAACATCTATTCATAAAGGCAGGAAAAATAATAGATAAATCTTCTTTCCTAAAGCGAGTAGCAAGGGGTGGCTTAAACTACATGTATGCCTTAGTCAGCAACAGATACGCTGAGAGGTACAGGCAGCCTCTGTCCGTGCATACCCTGACATATGACAGTGTATCATCAACATTCCTAAAAATCTTCCTGCTTTCAGCAACATCAGGAGCAGCAAACTTGATATTATTACACTGACTCAAGAGCTGCCTAGACATGTTACTTTAATGAATTACTAAGAAATTTACTTATACAATCACAGCTTACTGGAAGAATATGCAGAGATGGGTGTGTGTGTGTGTGTGTGAGGAAGACCCAAACATGTGCAAAAGCACGTCTCTTAGAATGAACTTAATGTCTGATCTACTAAGCCTGGAGAATTGTTGTCAGCCACACATGAACTAACTCCATTCTTCACATGAGAAATGTATTAATCCATACTATTCTCCAAGAAGTGAACCTCTCCTCTTTGGAGCTGAAACACAGAAGTAGTGCAAAGAACCCTGCGGATGGCTGCTTCTGCAATCTCCACTCTGTAGGTAAGGACAACAAGAAATTCTGGATTTTATTCACTATCTTTCATAGCTCTAAAACCTCCTAAAAATGAACAGAGACTGAAAGCTAACAACGTTCCTTAATGCAAAGCCCACATTAATATGGGGGTAGGGGGTGGCAGCGTGGAGGAGGAGATTTTTTAAACCCGGTAAAACTCCAAAGAGAACTACGTTCCCACTAAAAATAAATTGCAATTAGTTTGAACAGCAAAACAAAGAAAAAAGTATGATGTCCCCACATATTTTGCATCTTAAAGGAAAACCATTTCAATTGTTATATTAAATTGAACTTTTTTTCCCCCCACTTTTAAGTAATTTTCACGTCTGAACAGAGAGGACACAAGACCAAATTCTAAAGGAAAAAAAGGCAAGACAAGACAAAAAGGGAACCAGTTGCTGATATCAAGGATACACCCACTCCAGTTTTAACTTTTCAGGAGGCAGCTCTGTCCTAATGTCATCATAGTTCTCTACATCAGAAGGAATGAACATTGTGATTGGTCGACCACGCATGAACATCTTGATATATTCTCCCTCTGTTGAAAGAAAGAAGGACATTAATCATAAGACGAGTTTACAGTAGAAATAAGCAGAAAAGGGACCAGTAATAAGCACAGGGATGCAAGTAACACTTGTGATATAAGAATTCTTTTTGAAATGCGAGTTTCCAAAAGGTCCAGATTTTTTATTTTTTTTTTGAACAGCCCACTAAAATACACAGACACACGCACACCCACACAGTAAGGGTTAGTTAGATTGATGATACAACAGGCGCGGGGTGTAACATTGTAGACATGCAAATTAACTAGCAAAGGGAAGTTTCAAATTAAAATTTGAAACTGAATAAATAACTAGTCATAGAGTCACAGGACAAGGTATTTCACGGTTGAAGGGGACCTCAGGAAGTCCAACTTCTGGCTCAAAGCAGCCTCAGCTGTGAGATCAGACTAGGTGGCTCAGGATTTTGCCTACTCCAGTCAAAAACCTCCCAAGATGGAGATGGCACAACCTCTCTTGGCACCTGGTTGTCCACCAGCACCCCCAGGGCCCTTCCCGCAGAGCTGCTCCCTGCCTGTATTTCTCCCAGGAGCTATTCTTTCCCCCAGATACAGGACTTGGCATTTTTCCTTGCTAAATTCTGGGAGGTTCCTGCAGGCCCATCCCTCCAGCCTGCCCAGGGACCCCTCACTGGCAGTTCTACCCTCCAGCATATCGACTGGGACCCCGGTCTGCTGTCATCTGCAAACTGCAGAGTGTGCTCTGTCACCTGCTCCAGGCCATTGCTGGAGACATTAAACAGGAAGGGTCCAGGATAGGCCCCTGCAGACCCCACTTGTTAGCCAGCGGGTAGAGTATGACCCATTAACCATGGCCTTCAGAGGCCAGCCATCCAACTGGTTCTTCTACTCACCTATCCCAAACATAACGCCCCAGCTAAGGCACAAGGATACTGCAGGAAAAAGTGTCAAAAGCTTTGCTGAGGAACAGAATCTGAATTTATCTATCATTACACACTAATACGCTGACCTGAATTATTATTTTACTGAAATCATAGCAATTGCATGCTATTGCACATTGCATCATACCCTGAAGAATGGAAAGAAGCAACAGCTCTTCATGACTCCAGCTGTAACACTGTCTATAGCTATGACAAAATACATGCATCTCTCTGTTGGGACATCTGAGCACTTCACAAGCCTTCAGGAGTTCCTTTTCAAGGAAAATGAGATTATTATCCACCACAGAAAATTAATTACAGAGTAGCTGAGTGGCTTGGTCAAACACATTAGCTAGTCACTGGAAAGGAAGGCATCTGGATTTAAGGAATACATGATTGCAACTAGTATATTAGATGCCCTACAGGAATCTTCCCTTCACACTAAAACAATAACCATATTCTAGCTTCAGAGGACCAGAAAATCCCCTGGAGACTTTGAAAAGCCTTTACACCCTACCCACACAGCAAGCCAGCACTGTAGTGCTGTTTAACTATGATTAAATCAGGTCTCAAATCCACAAGAATTAATGCTAGTCTCCAACTCTGCTGATACAGGAGTTTCATTTTGTAAAGTACTGATGAGAAAGATCCAAGTATTTCACTGATTTTGCATCAATGCAATGGTAACTTTATATCACTCTTCAACTCTTCAGTAATTAACACCCATTGTTAATGTAACTAATATCACAAAGCCAAAGTTATATATTCTCCTGTGAATATGGAACTCCGCTATTTTTATGAACAGGGAATTTGAAAATCACAGCAGACAGAGGGTTTCAAACCAAAACATAAATACTTGAATAGGACTAGAGTAGAAAAATAGCTGTGAATTAGCAACACAGTATTAAGAAACCTCTAAATGCAACCAATATTGAGATCCAGAATTAAGACCTTTAAACAATTACTTTTGCATTTCTTGCAAAAGGTAAAGAAGACAGACTTCCCATAAAAGTCCAGGGAATGCTTGTAAATATTTCCCCAATTAAGCATAAGATTATTACTCAGGCTGCATGAGTGTGCAATCTATGTTTCGCATTCCCTAAAACTTCTAAAAGTGGAATTATGAAAAACTCAAAGACTTATTCCCACAGAATTAAGGTTTAACAGCTCAAGTCAAATTTGGAGATCTAAAAAGCCAAGATACTTCAGCAGCAATATAAACCCAAAACCACTCTCACTTACAGAAACATTTTAGAAGATGCGAAGATCAAGAAATAATCAGTTGTGAGCAAGACCAACCTTCAGCCAGGATCCCTACCTTTCTCTGAATTTGATATACCCCTAACTATACAGGCTGTAGAAGCATATTCTGTCTTAGTGCAGTCAGAAGTGAATGAGGAGAAAAACCCTCTAACTATATTCATCGACCAAAGACAAAGCAGTCTTGCACAAAGCTTGGAAATGAATTCTTAACTGAGTGACACTTAAGGTGTCTCTCTTACAGTTAGACAAGATACAAGACTACAATCATTAGTCTAATGAAAAAAAATTGGTGAATGTTCTAGGTTATTTGGAAGAAGCATTTCTGCTCATAGAGGATTTTTTTAGAGTTGTTTGAAATTCTGTGGAACGCCACCCCAGCTCTGAAAGCACTAACTTTGAATACAGCAGTGATGATCCTAGCACACGCCAATGACTGGGACAGCATTGACACATACAGGAAAAATATAAGGTGACAAATCATACAACAGATTCAGTAACTCCTAGCCAGAGGAAGAGTCATCCATAAGCTTGTGTAGTTTCAACACCACTTGTCACAGCATCGCTCAGACTTAACTAGGTCAATGAATCCAGGCACCTGAACATGAGCTAGTTACAAGTATTCTCTGTGCGTGACATTCACTTTGAAGATTTCACAACACATATGGCTTAATTTGTCAAAAGCTTGTTATTCCTCTGAACACACTGTAGTTTGATTTCTTGACACATAACACTATTAAGAATTTTTTAATTATTTGATGAAACAATTACAGTTCATCTAATTTACCAAGTTCCCCAGATTTAAAAGATATGATTAGAGTGACTCCTTTTCCACTTTTAGGGTGCTCAAGTCAACATTCTGAGACCAAGAATCCATTCTACTTGAATTCTGTGTTGCTTTTGACCCTGATAGTAGGGTTACCCTGTGCTGGTGAAAGAAGGGAATTTGCCTATGACAGTCCAAATACAACTGAAAGCTAATGCAAAAACAAAAACAAAACACAGGCTGAAAAAATAATTCCTGAAGAAAAATCGTAATAATTGAGTAACGTAGAACTAACACATGCATAAAGTTTTTTCCTTATTTGGAACAGTGAAAGTTGAGCCATTTAAGTCCAGTATCAAAGGAACAAACACCAAGATGAAAAACAGTTGTCCCACTTCTTTACCAGAACAAATACAGCTCCTTTGAATAAGAGCCCTCTGAGTCTATTCACTGACAACAGTAGAAAACTTGCCTCAGATCAAAGAACAAAGAAAATCACTTCCCAGTAGCTAAGTGAGAAAGGACCGTTATTTTACCAACTCTGTACTGCTTAACTGCATTGCTGAGAAAAATTAAAGACAGGTGTTGTCACCAGTCTGACACAAAAGCTTAGATAATTATTCCAAACTTGTAAAATGTCTCATTTTTCCACTAAAATATTTTTTTATAATATGTGTTTCACAGAGATAAAACGATACTGACTATGACTAAAACCAAGAGTAACGTATTAATAATGACTTTTTTTTTAAAAAAGCTGGTGCTCGCACTCTTACAACTTAAAACACAGCATAGCTTGAGGGTATTTAGAAAAGACCATTCATTTGGGCAAGTCAAACTCTTGATTTAACACTGAGCTTGGCACTTCTGGCTCCACCAAACCAGTGCAAAATGACACCACAAATTTAGGATCAAATTTCTCATCACTGCTTAGAACAATGGAGACAGGCTGCCACTGAAATTCATATGGATGGAGGCAGTTGCACCTGTCGACCCTGCAGATGAGAGAGATGAAGGGTCCAAGAGGAATTCAGTCAGGTCTCTGGCCAGAAGAGAAGAAGCTCTCCTGGAGCTCAGGGAAAAGATTATCTTCAGGGCATTCAAATACAAATTAGCTGTCTGAACTTCTCTGTTAAAGAAAGGACATTCTTTGCTTTTATTAGCCAGCTGTGTGTTATTCAAGATTACCTTTGAAAATACATATTTAACAAACTTGTTAGAGAGACAAGGGCTAGGTATAACATGATTAAACCTCTCCCTACAGAAAAGGAAGGATAAAAAGAGACAACCCACTGAAAGATTTTTGTCTAAGACTGTAAACTTCCTTTCGTCAGAATAACCTGTAGGGCAGATACTATATTAATGTAAAAATCTTTTGAAATACTGGAGAGGATGGCAGTGTATCAACAAAACCATTCTCAAAGAGCAACTAATTGCCTGAGGCCAAATTCTTGTATTTGCAAGCTAAGAAAACCAGAGATTTAACTCTTTCATAGCACACTGGCTCAACTGAATGATCAAGAGCCTTAGACTACCTGTTTATTTCCTGTGCCCAATTTCAAGGTACAAAGCAGTATGTCAAGACTTTTTTTTTTCCCTTATTTGATTTTTTGGAAGAAAAGAGCCTTGGCCATCTCGTAACAGATATGTAGCTAAGAGGGTACAAGGAAGATAAGTCAGAAGTTTTAAAGAGGGTGGGGAAAGAAAGCCCAACAAACAAAAAAATCTTTGACAATTCTAACATCTACCAGCTTGAAAACAGTAGGTATGAATGTAAAAATTCTCCATCCCATATAAAGAGATGTTCAGATCTCACTACTCACTCTGTAGAAGCATTTGGCAAGGGGGTAGGGAAGGGGCAGGAGAGGATACCTGAAAGGATTTAAACTAAGTTAATCTGTAACTTCAGATATCCTATAAACCCGTTCAAATATGGATCAAACCAACCTAAAAGTAGAGCTGAAGCTCTTTAGACAGCACACCCAGGTGCTGTGGATTATCCACACCCCACAAAAAGGAACAGCTCAGGCTACAAAAAGCAGCAGCACCCCGTGGATGCAGCACCCTGGCTTCAG